GTAAAAGTTATTTCTCTTGTTAAATACAATCGTTGTCTATGTAGATGTATGTAACTATGTTGATACTAACCGACGTGCATTGTTGTCGTAGACAATGTAATGAAATTGAATATCATAATAGTACCGCTATATTCCTGTTATAGAAACCTATATATTATTAATTGATTAATGTATATATGAAACGTCGCACCTACTTCGAATCCCTTATACTTACTACTATTCGTTTTAATTTGTTGAAAATCTATGTAATTAGCTAATTGAATCCTCATATAACTTTACTTATTGTTGCTCGCGATTTCGTTCAAGTGAATTTAGAAAATAGTAAAATCCATTTCCATATATTACTCAACAATAACCTAGTTTTTTAATGATGATAGAATTTGAAATCGTCCCAGTAGTTTTTATGTAATTTCAATACGTACAAAAAACCTAAAAAAACAAATCTTTTCTTTTTATAATATTAGTATAGAGTATAGATTTATTTACCATAAACCACAACTTCTATGCTAATATTTTATAAAAGTTAGTTAGCATCTGCATAATGTAGGGTGTATTTTATGCAGTTTACACATTTTTCTACGATATGTAACTACCATAGACCACTATAAAAGATCAAAGACTTAGAGCGCAGCTTTTAAAACTAAATAAGTCGCTACAAAAGTACACCTTTGCGTTTTATCTTAGTAATACACACTCGTTAAAATCTCGACAATATTTTTTAGCTTCATAAAGTATTTACTGTTTAATAACCTAATGGAGGGATACGCTTCGTATTCAATGTTATTTAAATATACGCTTATAGTAAAACCGATTTATCGGGATATATTTCAGAGCTCCCAAGGGATGAAAATAAGCCCGGCTCTTTTTAGTTAATCATGACTATATTTTGTATATTATAATCTCGCATGATTTGATTTCGTTGGGATTAAATCAGCATTGAGTTTTATGAATAATTAAAACATTTTACAAAATCAGACTTGTTTTTAGATTTTAACATAATTAAGACTTGGATAAAGTGTGAGAGAGTTTAAAATATCATATTTAAGTTTCTTATCAGACATATTACAGTTTATTCAAACTAAAGAACCATACTTTGTAAACTAAATTCAGTATATACGACAAACTTCGCAAATCCCAAAATAATAACTAAGAAACGATTGTTCTTATTAAAGTTTTAGACTGAAGTTGAAGTAATTTGTATTAGTTAGTTTAGCTATTTGACTACGACTATTCTAAAACATTTTAAACACCAATAAGAAAACAACACGAAGTTAAACCATAAATAAAACCAAAAATAAAGTGATTGAGAGTCTTTCTACAAAGATTTGCTTTTAAATCCTATGTTTAAAACAGCATCAATATGATAAATGGTACTTTCGTAAGAAAAACATAATGACTTCATGCAAACATCTAGTTAATGGATGTTTCCATTATAAAAATACCAACATAACGACGCAGCGACGGTATTATAATAGAGCTGTGGAACGTAAGTTAAAGTTCTATTAAACTAGAATCTTTAATGGCTTAATTTAGCCAAGTGGCCGGAGCCGGGAGTCAGTTACCTGCGCGAGGGCACGCGGAGCCGGTTTGCAGTGATCCATCTCGACCCTCCTTCGCCCCCTCGTTCCCCGCCGCCCTTCCACTTCCCATCTGAGACCCATCTCACATTCAAAACTTTTTTGCTCGACTGACTTTGCGAACAGGTTTACAATTCCTTATTTTTAAGTGAATCGCACACGTCGAACTTTTAATCCAAGTTACTGCTACAGGGTACATTTATGCCACAAAAAATTGCGTTATACTCCGACTAATCCTGTCATTATTATTGTAACAATATATGTAGATATTAAAATTACTTAAGAGACAATGGAAGGAAACACATATGCTATTGCTGGTTGAGCGATCATTCGTAACTAATACACCATTACAGTAACTCATTCTTTCCAACATAATTATGCCTAATTTTTCCTTCAACGTCTAAATAGCTATTATTATGATAAATATTCCAATATGGCGCTTTTTTCATCGGCGCGTCTGTGGTATCCCTATTCTGTGGTAATGACTTCAAATTGTCGCCGTTCCGACTGTGTGGACGGCATAAAGGAATTCACCAATTTGAATTTTATTGCCGAAAATTAAATATTTATACAGGCACGAAAATGCCCGTACAAGAAAAGAAAACGCTTTCATTTGTTATCGCGCTTTTTTTTATCTAAAAACAAAACAAGATCAATTATTGATTTTGAAAATTGTAGTTATTTTCGTTTTATAGAATACCCAGTTATATCTTGCTACAAAAGTGACTTGAATATTCTAGTGCATACTTTGAGACTTTCAGAATGTCTCTTTGAGATACAAGTGCTTTTAATTAACACAATCGGTAAGAAACGAGCACAATCTCAGTCTATTTATCTGAGCAACCATTTTCTTTACTGATCATAGCTCGTAAAAACGTATCAGAACAGGTTTGGATAATTTTAAAACATCCGATCTTAATTACAATCTTAAAAATAATTTATTTAATGGTACGTCCATGAGAATACAAACGTGAACAAAAGGAAATGACGTCACTGTTGCAAAAGCAACGGAAGAAGTTTTAATCTAAAAGAACGATCGCTGCGATCGCTGCATGCAGATTGTTGTTATAAAGTTTTTTTTATTGATAATGCAAATATGTTATGTTAAAATTTGTATTCTTAAAATGTTTTAATAAAATTCTTCAAACAATTTCAAATATTCATATGCTGTTTCTATTTAAATTAACTACTAGTACTTAGTGCAAACTTAATTAACATATAAGCGAATATTATGAGGGCGTATTGGCACTTTAGTTTCTACAACCAATTACAAATTGAATACTCAACATAATTAAGAGTAGCCTATAATTTCCACCTTAAATAAACTATAAAAAAACCGATAAGAGCTATAATATTTTAGATAAATAAGTACTAAAAAGTTCGAGTATAAAAATCAACGAAATAAAAAGAAACGCTTGATTTTAAACGAAAAAAATCTCAATGATAAGCAGTAAAATAAATATTACCCAAAGCTTAAATGGTAAAACTTAATAGCTTTAGGATAAAAACATTGGATTCATAATACAGTATTTTAGACAAGATATAATTTTAAATACTATATTTTAATATACTGAATTAGGTTTTGCCGTTTGACACAGTAAAAATTAACCTCCTAATCTTTCTCTTCAAATCCACTCAGATGAAATATTATTAATTATTAAAAATATTAAAAAATATATTATCAATCAGAGTATAACTAGCCAGCTGTCGCCCGCGACACCATCCGCGCGGAATTTAAAAAAGACTCAGTTGCCTATATGTCCTTCTAGACTATATCCCACATCTGTGCCATACAATGTGAACTTTAGATCTATTCTAGAGATATATGGTAACAAACATCCATCCATCTATCCATTTAAACTATCGCATTTATGTTATTAGTAAGAAGTAAGACTGCGCATGGCGTGATAGTATAGTTGCCGAGTAGCGTCGATTTTAATCAACTGAAATTATAAAGTTACTGATTGCTTTTGCCGACAACTACACGATACTAACTTATTTACCGTCATTTAGAGTCGTGGTAGTTTAGCATCCGCTCGACTTGTCTTTAATTCCGTTAATCGTTTACCTGAGCTAAACGACGATGAAATAGTTAGGAGTTTAAATTTATCACTTGAATGAAACATGATTAATGTAGAAAATCAATCAATTTCACATATCAATATAAATAAAAGAAAGTCGTGTTAGTTACACTATTTATAATTCAAGAACGGCTTTACAGATATGGCTGAAAATTGGCGAGGAGGCAGCTTATACCCAGGAGACGGACATAGGATACTATTTATTCCGAGGAAAGATTTGTATTTTTGCATTTTTTTATGTATTTGATTGACGCAAAAACTACTGGTCCGATTTTCAAAAATTAGAGCCATTAGAAAGTTAATTTATCTGTAACATAGGCTATATCTTTTTTTTTAATCTCACCGAGACGAAGTCGCGAGCAACAGCTAGAAAAAAAGATAAAGTTAACATAGAATACCACACAATTAAAATGCAAAATTGCAAGTGCGACGGTTCACTTATCAACAATAGGATTGATTTACTTTAGATAAATTAATTAAGGTTTCAAGCTTCAAAGAGACTTGACAGTAGGAAGCAAATAACTATGGTCGCTATTGATGATGATGATTTAACCCCGAAATTTTAAAAGCCAAAAGTCCGCTTTAACTTTTGAAGTCAAACTTTTACTTGAATTATTAAAACTAATGAAACAATCGGTGACGATACCAGATAACACATCGTGAGCCCTTTGTGAAGGAAAAACATTTTCATTGACAACTTTATTAAGTAAACTTGGTTCCTTGCTAAATAGAACTCAAAAATTATATGACCAATTAAAGTCATATAAACAGCGATTTTATTTATGTTTGTATTTGTCTTGGGAACTTGATTAAAGGTTTAACCGTTAAGAAACCTAATATTGAATACATTAACTTAATAACTATAGATAAATCGGTACCTACGTTTAACGAAGCCTACATAAGAATTGCATTCCAACGAAATCTTATCATGTCTTTGTAATACAAAAATTATAGGATTTTTCTTTAATAACAATAACTGCAACTACATAACTGTCGTTTTATATAACAGAAGTATGATAAACTCAATTTACCACAAACAATATCATGAATTTCACAACATTACTTGAAGTCCCGCAAAAAGTGCAATAAAATAATTAAAGTCAATGACAGTTGTGGTGGACATTATTTTGTTACCAATTTAAGGGCTACCAATTCAGCTCCTTTATTATTTTATGGTCAGAGAGAACCAGTATAGTAATACTGAGTATTTAATGCGCCACTACAACAGCTTATCATAGATCTTTATTTACCCATTGATAAGATTAGCAGCCCCACATTTTGCTCATGCAATAGGTATGAAAGTTTGTTGATAGTTGACTCAGTACAGGATGTTTGTACTTACCTCTATGATGACGGACCCGGTGATGTGACACTGGACGACAGCACGGCTGCTCTTGAAAGGC